TGCTGCTGCTGTTGCTGCTGTTGTTGTTGTCGCTGCTGCTTGCTCTATGCAAATCCTGCAGAGACAAAGACAAACTGTCGCGCCAGCTCAGCCGCCCGCTGCTGCTGCGGCGGCCAGCAGCAGCAAAGGGAGTTCGTGAGGCATCCATAGAGCCCCCCCACCGCATGCTGCTGCTGCTGCTGCTGCTGCTGCTGCTGCTTCGGCTGTATCTCGTCCGACTGCTCTTGTCTTCAGCCCCATAGAAAGACTCCAGGAGGGACTCCTGCTGCTGCTGCTGCTTCTGCTGCAGCTGCTGCTGGCGCTGCTGCTGCAGGTGTTTTTCTTTGTGTTTCTGCTGGGCGCGGCGTACTGGGAGGGTTTGTCTTATGGCGGCTCTGAATAGAGAAAGAGACAGAGAAGGCAGAGAGACCCTCCAGCAGCCCCCTTCATACACTCCTTCATCGCCTGTTGCTGCTGCTGCTGCTGCTGCTGCTGTTGCTGCTGCTGCTGCTGCTGCTGTACCCTCCACCGCACCGCCCCCCAAAGGCCTCCCCAGCTGGTGCTGATAGCTGCCCTGCAAATACATGCGCGGGTTGAAGGGCAGCACTTCATTGTGCTGCTGCTGCTGCTGCTGCTGCTGCTGCTGTTGCTGCTGCTGCTGCTGCTGCTGCTGCGCGCCTGAATAGGGAGGCAGCAGAGCCTCGAAGGCCTGGGTGTAGTGGCCTGCTAACCAGTAGCAGCAGAAACGCAGCCATATATCTCCTGCTGCTGCTGCTTGCGGCAGCAGCCGCTGCAGCAGCACCCTGCTGTATTCTGCTGCAGCAGAGCCATCAAACGACAGAGGCGAAGGGGGAAGACCCCCCCGCATTTCTGCTGTCTCCGCAGCAGCAGCAGCAGCAGCAGGAGCAGCAGCAGCAGCAGAAGCTGCAGAAACAGTTGGAGCCGGCGCTGCTCCTCTGCCTTCTAGCTTCCCTGCTCCCGCACCCATAGCACCAGGCTGCTGCCGCTGCTGCTGCCGCTGCTGCTGCTGCTGCTGCTGCTGCTGCTGCTGCTCCTGCAGGCCCCATGGCTGCGAGTCCATTCCTAAGGGAGGAGACTCAGGGGAGGAGACAGCAGCGCCAACTCTGCAGAGAAAGAGGGCTAGCTGCGTGTCTGACAGCACCCTGCAACAGCAGCAGCAGCAGCAGCAGCAACAGCAGCAACAGCAGCAGCAGCAGCAGCAGGAAGAGAGTTTGAATGTTCCGCATTCAGGCCGCATTCTCACAGAAGGTGGAGCGAGCAACAGCAGCAGCAGTAGCAGCAGCAGAAGCAGCAGCAGCATGATCAGCAGCAGCAGCAAGAGCAGGAGCATCAGTATCAGCAGCAGCAGCAGCAGCAGCAGCAGCAGCAGTATATTACCTGCAGCAAACATCAGCAACCTCTCTGTAGCTGCCTGCGAGAGAGAAAAACGCCAAAGACAAATAGCAGCGCCGCTGCGCCAGCAGATGAAAGGCATTTCGTTCTGCTGCTGCTCGCCACCGAACGTCAGCTGAATCAGACAACAAAAATGTTGCTGCCTGCAACCAGCAGCAGCAGCAGCAGCAGCAGCAGCAGCAACAGCAGCAGCAGCAGCAGTAGCAGCAGCAGCAGTAGTAGTAGTAGTGGGAGGATTAGTAGCGGCGCAAGCAGGACCGGCAGGAAAGCAGCACAAACATCAGCAAAGCAGCAGCAGCAGCATGAGCAGCAGCAACAGCAGCAGCAGCAGCAGCAGCAACACACGCAGCAGAAGCAGAAGCATGAAGCAACAGAAAGACAGGAGAGGAGACAGAGACAGAAGGAGACAAAATGCAGGCAGCTGAGAGACAAACAATTTGCAGTATTTCTAATAAAGCTGCAAAGCCACGAACTAAAAGCAACTAACATCTGCTGCTGCTGCTGCTGCTGCTGCTGTTGCTGCTGCTGCTGCTGCTGCTGCTGCTTACCTTTGTATTCCCCTGAGCCTTTAGTGAGGCCACGATGAGGCCCTTCTTGCCGCTGATTGCTGCCCACAAGGCAACGAGATCAGCAGCACTTGCTGCTGTTGTTCCTGCTGCTGCTGCTGCTGCTGCTGCTCCAGACGGTGCAGCTCCGTGCTGCTGCTGAACCCCAGCAGCAGCAGCAGCAGTGCTGCTGCGTACAGATATGAAAGGACTCGAACTCTCTGGCGGCCCCTTGAGGTTCAGCGTTCCCTGCTGCTGCTGCTGCTCTGCTGCTGCTGCACTCACTGCATCCCGCAGCAGCAGCTCGCACAGCTGGCGGACGGTAGAAGGGCTGCGCAGCCAGAAGCCAACCCCGCGCTGCAGCAGCAGCAGCAGCAGCAGCATAAGCAGCAGCAGCAGCACAAGCACAGGGACGCACGCAGCATAAGCAGCTCAGAGTCAAACAGCAGTAGCTGCTGCTGCTGCTGCTGCTGCACGCAGCAGCAGCAGCAGTGCCTTTCTACGAGTCATGGTGCTAACAAAACTGAAGCAGCAGCAACAGCAGCAAACGCAACAGCACCAGAAGCAACCACAAACGCAGCAGCAGCAGAAGCAAACACAGCAGCAGCAGCACAACCAACACAAGCAGCAAACGCGACAGCAGCAGCAGCAGCAGCAGCAGCAGCGGGGACACACCAGGCGGAGGAGCGGCCAGACGAGGCGGCCCTCTGGGTGTGCTGCGCGCGCCTGCTGCACCACCTGATGCAGCAGGTCCTCCTCAGCAGCAGCATGAAGACACCAGCATATGTCTTCGCTGCTGAGAAGTGCTGCTGCAGGCACTGCAGCAGCAGCAGCAGCAGCAGCTGCAGGAGCCGCAGCAGCAGCAGGCCGCAACAGCGAACTAGAACTGCTGGAGAAGGAAGAAGAAGAAGAAGATGCAACCTTCGCTTGCTGCTGCTCCTGCTGCTGCTGCTCCTGCTGCTGCAGCAGCTGCTGCTGCTGCTCAGCCACAGCTATCTCCGCCTCCTGCAGACACACAGAGAAACACGCAACGCACAGCAGCAGCAAATTGCTGGAGCAGCAGCAGCAGCACGCAGTAGCAGCAGCAACACACCCAGCAATGATAGCAGTGGCAGCACCAAAAATACCCGCCGCCAGACGAGCAGCAGCAGCAGCAGCAACAACAACAGCAGCAGCAGCTTCGGCGTCGCTTTGCTGGTGCTCTGCTTCCGTTGAACACAGTCTTGCTGCAGCAGC